TTTCTTCTTCTTCTTCTTCTTCTTCATCTTCTTCTTCTTCTTCTTCTCCATCTTCTTCTTCTTCTTCTTCTTCTTCTTCTCTTCTTCTACTTCTTCTTCTTTCTTCTTCGTCTTCTTCTTTCTTCTTCTTCTTCTTCTTCTTCTTCTTCTTCTTCTTCTTCTCCACCTTCAACCTTCCTTCCTCCTCCTCCACCTCCCACCTTCTCCCTCCTCCTCCTCTCCTCCTCCCCTCCTCCTTCCTCCTCCTCCCTCCTTCTTCTCCTCCCTCCTCGCTCCTCCCTCCTCCTTCTTCCCTCCTCCCTCCTTCTTCCTCCTCCCTCCTTCTTTCTCCTCCTCCCTCCCTTCTTCCTCCTCCCTCCTTCTTCCTCCCTCCCATCCTTCTCCTCCTCTCTCCTTCCTCCTCCTTCCCTCCTTCCTCCTCCTCCCTCCTTCCTTCCTCTTCCTTCCTCTTTCCTCCTTCTTCCAGTCGGGCTCCGGGTCGCTTCAGAGCCTCCTTCCCTTCCTCGTCCTCCTTCCTTCCTCTCCTCTTCTTCTCCTCCTCTTCCTTTCCTCCTCTCTTCTCCTCCTCACTCTTCCTCCTCTCCTCCTCTTCCTCCTCCTCTCCTCCACCTCCTCTATTGCTTTGGTCTCAGACTCCTCGAAATCATGAAATTGATCTTCTATTGACACTTCCATCTGTGTTAGAGCATCACTTGGGAAGAGAAGAGTCCCCAGATTTGCAGGAAGTCACAAATTTCTTACTTCTAGCTGTGATTTGGGAGCACATGCTAGAAAAAGGAAGACTGAAATGGATTCCCACAAAGGCACCACTGGCTCCCCGATTTTTTTTATAATGGTGCACACTGACCATGGAGACCCATTCACTCACATGTGGGCCTACCAGCTTTCTCGCTGCTTGTGGAGGTATAGCCGCTAGAATTTATCGTATAGATACGTCAAACATCGGGTATCTCCTATGACGTACATATACGACCGCGACAGTCAAAGGGTTAAGGGCAATGTTCAATCTCGAAATACCATGACTGAAATATAGGGAGTCCTCTGACTTATGAATGATCTGCAAACTTGTGAATGGAGGTCAAAAAAGGCATAATTTTGGAAAAATATTTGTATCTATATTGACTTTTAGTTCCCAAGTGTTTGCTGTGAAATCATATAGGGTAATAGAGGTGAGGTCTTTTGAACACCCGGCCTATCCCACCGAGGTGGGGTGGCCCAAAAGAAAAAACGGAAGTTTCTTTCTTCATCCTTTACATTTTAGTAATACACCTACCATCCGACCTTACGACCTTCTCGATTATGACCCTCGACTTACGACCGTGTTTTTTATGCCAAATTTCTGGGAAATAAACAACTATTGTGTTTGTAGCGAGAAGTTGAGAGTGATCGGCTAAACCTTACAGCATTAAATACAGTATACTAACAACATAAAAAGTAAGTAAAACATGAAATACCAAAATAAAACAATAAAATAAAGTCATTACAAAAATGTTTTTGTTGATTATTCAGTAGTAAAGTTTCACTTAACGACCATTTCGACTTACGACCGGTTTCTTGGACCGAACTTCCGGTCGTAAGTCGGATGGTAGGTGTAATATACAGGAGAATGGGTCACTAGCCCCTTGCTCCCGGCATTTTTAGTCGCCTCTTATCAAACATGCATGGCTGTACGGAGGAAGAATTTTGTTCCACTGTCCCATGGAGGTAAGAGGAAATAAACAAGAACAAGAACTAGAAAGAAAATAGAAGAAAACCCAGAGGGGTGTGTATATATATGCTTGTACATGTATGTGTAGTGTGACCTAAGTGTAAGTAGAAGTAGCAAGATGTACCTGAAATCTTGCATGTGTATGAGACAGAAAAAAAAAAGACACCAGCAATCCTACCATTGTGTAAAACAATTACAGGCTTCCGTTTTACACTCACTTGGCAGGACGGTAGTACCTTCCTGGGCGGTTGCTGTCTACCAACCTACTACCTAAAGGGTAAAAAGGTATTTGTGGTATTTATGGATTTAGAACAGGCTTATGATAGGGTGGATAGGGGGGCAGTGTGGCAGATGTTGCAAATTTATGGAATAGGAGGTAGGTTGTTGAAAGCGGTGAAAAGTTTTTTTGAGGATACTGAGGCTCAGGTTAGAGTATGTAGGCGAGAGGGAGATAATTTGCCAGTAAAAGTAGGCCTTAGACAGGGATGTGTGATGTCACCATGATTGTTCAGTATATTTATAGATGGAAGAGAAGTGAATGCTTGGGTGTTGCAAGAGGTGTGGGGTTAAAAGATAAAGGAATCTAACACAAGTGGGAGTTGTCACAGTTGCTCTTTGCTGATGACACTGTGCTTTTGGGAGATTCTGAAGAACGTTTTGCAGAGGTGGTTGATTGAGTTTGTAGGGAATGTAAAGGAAGAAATTAAAAATGAATATATGAAAGAGTAAGGTGATGAGGATAAAATATTAGAGGGTAATGGAAGATTGGATATCAGATTTGGAAAGAGAGAGTATGGAGGAGGTGAATTTGTTCAGATACAATGTATTTGGGAGTGACTTGTCAAGCAGATGGGTCCTGTGAAGAATGAGGTGAATCATAGAAATAGATTGAGGGGAAAAAGATGAGTGTGCACTGAGGAACCTGTGGAGACAACGAAACTTTATCATGAAAGCATAGATGGGGAATTATGAGAGTATATTATACCAATGCTCTTGTGTGCGTGTGAGGCATGGGTGTGAATGTTGCAACAAGGAGAAGGCTGGAGGTAGTTAAGATGTTATGTCTGAGGGCAATGTGTAGTGTGAATATAATGCAGAGAATCCATAGTTTAGAGCTTAGTAAGAGGTTGGGATTACCAAAACTAATTATCCAGAGGGCCTGAGGAGGGGTTTATTGAGATGGTTTGACATGTAGAGAGTGTATAAATTTGTAGTGAGGGAAGGCGGGTAGGGGTCACCTAGGAAAGGTTGGAGGAGGGGGGGTGAAAGGAGGTTTTGTGTGCAAGAGCTTGGACTTCCAGCAAGCGTGTGTGAGCGTGGTTAGATAGGAGGCGAATGGAGACAAATTGTTTTTTAGGACTTGACGTGCTGTTGAGTGTAAACAAGTTAATATTCATGGAAAGGATTCAGGGAACTGGGCAGGCCGGACTTGATTCCAGGAATGGGAAGTACAGTGCCGCACTCTGAAGGTTGTAGAGGGGTGTTAATGTTGCAGTTTTATAATTGTAGTCTAAGCATGCCTCTGGCAAGACAATGATGGAGTGAATGATGATGAAAGTTTTTCTTTTTCGGGCCACCCTGCCTTGATGGGAAATGGCCGATGTGTTAATAAAAAAATAATAAAATAAATTTTAGTTATAACATGTGACGCATAATTATCCCTCTGTAACTCTTTTTTCTGTACCATAACATGTTTGATTACAAATAAGCCATAAAAGTATGGGACTCTGCATGTTGGGTTACAAGTAATCCACTGGCATTACAGCTCTGAAATATATTTCTCATAATCATTTCCACAGTGACTCTGCACAACTCTTCGAGATCCACAACTCCTGCTGGCTGCTTCTCTCCGACATCCATATCACCAAGAGGCATCCAGAGTCCAGTGACAGTGGGGCCCAAGGGAAATGTGTTCATGCCTATATCTCAACCTGCTGCTATCACGTCTCCTACTGGGCGGCCCTGGCTGACCCATGACAACACTAGCAGACATTCTGTGCCCTCCCTTCCACAAAGACCTATTATTAGGTTAGTAAATTTTAAAAGCACACTTAAATTTACATTTCTTATTTTCAGTTATCTAAAATTGAGCTTATTATTAATTAGATCAGGGACTGACTTAAGGAACTTAACAGATTTCCTCTTTATATGATGGGATGATTCTGAAATGTATTGGGTCTCTTATGCTTATTATATCATCTCTTAGTGTGCTCATAGCACTCCTGCTTTTCTCTGGGGGTACTGTATTTTGTACCACCTGCTGAGTCTCTTGCTTTTGTGTTGAGTTATTTCTGTATGCGGTTTGAGGATCAATTCCTCTTAAGATTTCTAGGTGTATCTTTATTAATGTTCAGTGGACCCTAGGTTTATCGATAATTAATCCGCTCCAGAGGGTGTCACTAAATCAAATTTGAACCAATTTTCCGAATTCATTTTCCCTATATATAGAAATAATGTAAATCCAATTAATCCCATTCCAGACACTCCAAAGTATTAAAGAAGAAATTTTTTTTACATAAATATACATTTACCTACACAGAAAACAATGAACTGAAGAATGAAAACAATAAGAACATGACAACTACCTTTATTGAAGACTCCATCTATTCTCTCTCTTTTTAGGAAAAAAAAAAATTTTTAAAAATGGGTAACATATGGAAACAGGTGGTTCAAAAACATAGGAGGAGGAGTTAAGAGAGAGATAGATGATCTTCAATAAAGGTAAGTGTCATGTTATTATTGTTTTAATCTTCATGTCTCATTGTTTTCTGTGTAGGTAAATGTATATTTCATGTAAAAAAAATTCTTCTTCTTTAATACTTTTGGGTGTCTGGAATGGATTAATTGGATTTACATTATTTCTTATAGGGAAAATGAATTCGGAAATTGTCAAATTCTGCTTTAGTGACACCCTCTGGAGCGGATTAATTACGATAACCTAGGGTCCACTGTACATTATAAGATACACCTAGAAAATCTTAAGAGGAATTGATCCTCCAAACCTGCATACAGAAATAACTCAACACAAAAGCAAGAGACTCAGCAGGTGGTACAAAATACAGTACCCCCAGAGAAAAGCAGGAGTGCTATGAGCACACTAAGAGATGATATAATAAGCATAAGAGACCCAATACATTTCAGAATCATCCCATCATATAAAGAGGAAATCTGTTAAGTTCCTTAAGTCAGTCCCTGATCTAATTAATAATAAGCTCAATTTTAGTACTGAAAATAAGAAATGTAGAAAAAAAAAATAAATATTAATTTAAGTGTGCTTTTAAAATTTACTAACCTAATAATAGGTCTTTGTGGAAGGGAGGGCACAGAATGTCTGCTAGTGTTGTCATGGGTCAGCCAGGGCCAGCCCGTTAAGGAGACTGATAGCAGCAGGTTGAGATATAGGCATGAACACATTTCCCTTGGGCCCCACTGTCACTGGACTCTGGATGCCTCTTGGTGATATGGATGTCGGAGAGAAGCAGCCAGCAGGAGTTGTGGATCTCGAAGAGTTGTGCAGAGTCACTGTGGAAATGATTATGAGAAATATATTTCAGAGCTGTAATGCCAGTGGATTACTTGTAACCCAACATGCAGAGTCCCATACTTATAATGGTTATTTGTAATTCCAAACATATTATGGTACAGAAAATAAGAGTACAGAGGATAATTATGCGTCACATGTTATAACTAAAATTTATTTTATTATTTTTTTATTAACACATCGGCTCATTTCCCATCAGGCAGGGTGTCCGAAAAGAAAAACTTTCATCATCATTCACATCCCTCATGTGTCCTTGCCCAGAGGCATGCTTCGACTACAATAATAAAACTGCAACATTAACACCCGTCCTTCAGACCTTACCAAGTGCCGGCACGGACGTCCATCTCCAGGCATCAATCCGGCCAGCCAGTTTTTCCCTGAATCCTTTCATGAATATTAACTTTGCTTACACTCCAACAGCACGTCAAGTCCTAAAAACAATTTGTCTCCATTCGCTCCTATCTAACACGCTCACACACGCTTGCTGGAAGTCCAAGCTCCTTGCACACAAAACCTCCTTACCCCCCTCCCTCCAACCTTTCCTAGGCTGACCCCCTACCCCGCCTTCCCTCCACTACAAATTTATACACTCTCTACATGTCCAAACCATCTCAATAACCCCTCCTCAGCCCTCTGGATAATAGTTTTGGTAATCCCACACCTCTTACTAATCTCTAAACTATGGATTCTCTGCATTATATTCACACTACACATTGCCCTCAGACATAACATCTTAACTACCTCCAGCCTTCTCCTTGTTGCAACATTCACAACCCATGCCTCACACGCACACAAGAGCATTGGTATAATTATACTCTCATACATTCCCCCTCTATGCTTTCATGGATAAAGTTCTTTGTCTCCACAGGTTCCTCAGTGCACCACTCATCTTTTTCCCCTCATCTATTCTATGATTCACCTCATTCTTCATAGACCCATCTGCTGACACGTCCACTCCCAAATACATGTATCTGAACAAATTCACCTCCTCCATACTCTCTCTTTCCAATCTGATATCCAATCTTCCATTACCTAATTTTTTTATCCTCATCACCTTACTCTTTCCTATATTCATTTTTAATTTCCTTCCTTTACATACCCTACCAAACTCATCAACCAACCTCTGCAACTTCTCTTCAGAATCTCCCAAAAGCACAGTGTCATCAGCAAAGAGCAACTGTGACAACTCCCACATTGTGTTAGATTCTTTATCTTTTAACCCCACACCTCTTGCCAACACCCAAGCATTCACTTCTCTTCCATCTATAAATATACTGAACAATCATGGTGACATCACACATCCCTGTCTAAGGCCTACTTTTACTGGCAAATTATCTCCCTCTCGCCTACATACTCTAACCTGAGCCTCAGTATCCTCAAAAAAACTTTTCACCGCTTTCAACAACCTACCTCCTATTCCATAAATTTGCAACATCTGCCAAAAACCCCCCCCCCCCTTAAAAAACCCAAACCCCAAATCATAACCTGCCAAAAACCCAAAAAATACCACAAATCCCTTTTTTAAAACCCCTTTAGGTAAAAGGTTGGAAACCCACAACCCCCAGGAAGGTACTACCTTCCGCCAAGTGGGTATAAAACGGAAGCCTGAATTTGGGTTTTAAAACCAATGGGGAATTTGGGCTGGTTTTTTTTTTTTTCGCCCTCATACACATGCAAGTTTTCCCAGTACATCTTGCTACTTCTACTTACACTTAGGTTTCAAAAAAAACCCATACATGAAAAAGGGGCATAAAAATTTTCACCCCCCTTTGGGTTTTTTTTCTATTTTCTTTCTAGTTCTTTGTTCTTGTTTTTTTCCTCTTCCCTCCAGGGGAACAGTGGAAAAAAATTTCTTCCTCCGTAAGCCTTGCATGTTGAAAGGGGGGGCGACTAAAATGCCGGGGGGAAAGGGGCCCTAAAACCCCCATTCCCCCTTTATAAACCCCCAACCATCCCACTTCCCACCGATTTTCGGCCCAAAAAAACCCGGCCCGAAAGTAAAAAAGGGGTCGTAAGTCGAACTTTACTACTAAATATAAACAAAACATTTTTGTAATGATTTAAATTTTATTTTTTTTTTATTTTGGGTTTTTCCCTTTTTAAAACTTTACTTTTTTGTTGTTATACTCGTTTTTTAATGCTTAAGGTTTGGGAAATAAACACAATTTACAACCCCAAAAGTTGTTTTTTTCCCCCAAAATTTGGCTAAAAAACACGGCCCGTAAGTCGAGTGGTCATAAATCGAGAAGGTCGAAACGGGGGTAGTGTATTACAAAATTTAAAAAAGGGGAGAAACTTCCTTTTTTTCCTTTGGGCCCCCCCCACCTCGGGGGAAAAAAACGGCCGGTGTGTTCAAAAAAAAGACCTTTTTCCCCCATTTTGTTTCACTGAAAACCCATTTGGGTAACAAAAAGGTCAAAAAATAACCCAAATTTTTTTCCCCCAAAAATTTTAGGGGTTTTTTACCTCTTCACAAGTGCAGATAAATCATAAGTCAGAGACTCCCTAAAATTTCAGTAAAGGTTTTTCAACTTAAAACATTCCCCCTTAAACCCCTTTTGACTGTCGCGGCCCGTAAAGTACTCATGGGAGATACCGTTTTTTGACGAATCTATACGAAATAAATTCTAGGGGGCTTCAAATCAACAGGAAAGCTTTTAGGCCCACATGTGAGAGAATGGGTCCCAAAGGCCCAGTGTGCACCAAAAAAAAAAAAATCGGGAGCCAGTGGGGAAAAGGGGAAATACCTTTTCAGCCCTTTTTCAGCATGTCTAGGGGTAAGAAAATAGGTTTCCCCCTGCAAACGGGCCCCCCCAAACCAAAATTTCTCTTTAAATTTTTGGGGGGTTAACCCCAAAAGAATAAAAGGGGTGGGAAGGGGGAAAAAAAAGAACGGAAGGAGGGGAAAGAAAAAGGGGGCAAAAGGAAAGGGAAAGGAGGGGGAAAGGAAGGGGGAAGAGGAAGGAAAGGGGGAAAAGGGGAAGGGAGGAGGGAAGGGAAAGGGGGGAGGAGGGGGAAGGGGGGAGGAGGAGGGAAGGAAAAGGGGAAGGAAGGGAAGGGGGAAAGGAAAAAGGGGGAAGGGGGAAGGGGGGAAGGGGGGAAGAAGGAGGAAGGAAAAAGGGGAGGGGAAAAAAGGAAAGGGGGGAGGGGGGGAGGGGGGAAGGGGGAAAAAGGAGGGGGGGAAGGGGAAAGGAGGGGGGGGGGAGGGGGAAGGGGGAAGGGGAAAGGGGGGGGGAAGGAAAAGGGGGAAGGTGGGGAAAAAACAAGAAGGGGAAAAGGGAAGGAAAAAAAGGAGGGGAAAAAGGAAGAAGGAAAAAAAGGAGGGGGAAAAAGGGGGGGGGGGGGGGGGGTTTCCGGCGGAAAAAGGGGAAAAAGGAAAAAGGGGGGTTTAAAAGGGGAAAGGGGGGGGGGAAGGGGGCCCCCCCCCCCCCCCCGCCTTTCCTTTTTTTCCCCTTCCCCCCCTTTGCCCCATTTTTTTAACCCCCAAAAAATTCCCCAAGGGTAAGGGGGAAAACCCCATTGATAAGGGCCCCCCCCAACCCTTTAAGCCCAAACGAGGGTGGGTTGGGGGGGGCCGCTGCCCCTTCCCGGGAGGGGGGAGGGGGAAAGATGCCCCTCCCAAAAAATTTGTCGCGAAAAACCACCCCTGTCAAACCGTCTACTCTGTCCAGGAACCCCCAAGATAAAACCTCACGAAAACTAAAAAACCCTCCCGAAAGCCCATTGTCTGGTTTTTTTGGGGTTATCCTTTTTAATTTAAAAAAAAGTTATATTTGGAATTTATGTGAAAACCGTGAACAGAGTTTAACAGGGGAGAGAGAAAGAGAACAAAATTGAAAGAATAAAAAAGGGGAGAAAGAAAAATTTTAGATAAAAATTGGGGGGGGAAGCGCATCCGCCCCCAAATTTTTTTGAAAAGGCGTAGGGGGAGTGACTAATGAGACAAAAAACATTTTGCAGCTCCCCGACTCCTGAATTTAAAAAACAATTAAAAAGCCACACATTCCACACACAAGCCCAAGCGCTAAAGGGTGTAATACATTTTTTATAAAAGAAACTAGTGACTTTTATTTTGTGTATATAAATTAAAAAAAACCAGAAGCAAGAAGGGAAGGCAGGAAAAAGGGAAGGAACTAGATGAAAGGAAGGAAAAAAAAAAAGAAGGCCCAGATAAAAAAGTGGGAAAAGGAAGGGGGAAATTTCCCCCTCCAGGTACCCCGGGTGGGAAAAGGAATAAGGGAAAATTTGGGAAAGGGAAAGGGAATGAGGACACACGATAAAATTTCCCTAGGATAACTACATAAACAACTCCGCAAATATTTTTGAAGAAAACTCTCAGAACAGGTTTTTGTCTTTGAAACATAAAAAAAATTTTCCAAAAAAAAAGAAACACACACTAAATTTTGTGTGTGAGAGTTTTAAAACACCTTTGTGAAATAAAAACCATTTTTTATTTTTGGGAGGAGTGAAAACCCCCCAAAACTGTGTAAAAACCATGTTTTATTTTTGAGAGTGTAAAACACCACTGTTTATGACACCCATTTTTTAATGTGTGAGTGTAAAAAAACCCCAACTGTGTAAAAACCTTTTTTTAGGGTGTAAAGAGTGAAAACCCCAAAGTGAATTACCCCAATTTTTTTATGGTGGGGGTTGTAAAACACCACTGTGTATGACACCTTTTTTTTAAATGTGTGAGGAGGGTAAAACACCACGTGTATGACACCATTTTTTAAAGTGTGAGAGGGGTAAAAAAAAAACCACTTTTTGAAATAAACCCCCCAAAATGTTTTATAAGGGGGAAGTGTAAAACACCACTTTTAAAGACACCTTTGTTTTGTGGGAGAGTGAAAAAACACCATTTGTGTATAAAACCATTTTTTTATGTGTGAGAGTGTAAAACACCACTGTGTATACACCCTTTTTTTTTGTGTGAAAGGTAAAAACCCACTGGAAAGACACCATTTTTTATGTGGAGAGTGAA